CTGTACCGGAGTTTCCCTAGTTTGCTTAGTATCACACCTCATCTAATTTAATCAATTGCATGTGTTAATATATCTACTCTTCATTGCAAGCCTGAAGAGAAAAAGGTGTCACATATGTGAAAAGGAATCTATAAAACTGAGTAGTAATAATAGCCCATAAAGACAGATTTGGTATTACTATCAAGTTTACAGAATGAAACTATCTTTGAAGATTAGTAAGCTTCTAATTATTAGGGATCTTTGAAATATCTCTGGTCCTTGCACCAATTAACACCCAAAAAATGGCTATTAAAAGAACGAATAAAGAGATTGTTCTTTGCCAGGCTTGGTTGAACAGCCATAATTCAGTACTTCTAAATTCTTGTTTTTTTTTTATTTTTTTTAAAGATTTTATTTATTTATTTGACAGGCAGAGATCACAAGTAGGCAGAGAGAGAGGGGGAAGCAGGCTCCCTGCTGAGCAGAGAGCCCGATGCGGGGCTCAATCCCAGGACCCCAGGATCATGACCTGAGCCGAAGGCAGAGGCTTTAACCCACTGAGCCACCCAGGCACCCCCTAAATTCTTCTTTTGACCCAAATTCTGACTTCAGGAATATCACCACTGATGTCTACATCACTACTGCTTTCAAAAAAGAAAAAAAAAAAAAAAAATCAAGGAGTGCCTGGCTGGCTCTGTCAGAGCGGCATGTGACTCTTAATCTCGGGTCATGAGGTTCAAGCTCCACATTGGGTGCAGCAACTACTTAAATAAAAATAAAACTTAAGGGGCGCCTGGGTGGCTCAGTGGGTTAAGCCGCTGCCTTCGGCTCAGGTCATGATCTCAGGGTCCTGGGATCGAGCCCCGCATCGGGCTCTCTGCTCAGCAGGGCCTGCTTCCTCCTCTCTCTCTGCCTGCCTCTCTGCCTGCTTGTGATTTCTCTCTGTCAAATAAATAAATAAAATCTTTAAAAAAAAAAATAAATAAATAAAAATAAATAAAACTTAAAAAAAATCAAAAACTTACTTATTAAATAAACTACTTAAAAAACTACTTAAATAAAAATAAAACTTTAAAAAAATCATAGCCATCATTCAGTTTAGATACTTTTATAAAGCTAAGACTTGAAAAGGATTGCCTTGGATACCAAATCTCTCCCCACAAACTACCAATTATTTAATGGACTTATCCCAAAAGCATAAGGATATAAATATTGATTACACACAAATGTTGAGAAGTATCTACAGGTCAGCAAAACATCATTTTTAATATAATCCCCAGCTGGTAAACTAATAAGGGATGGCAAATAACAGCAAAGGAGATACCAGTTGACTACACTCTATTTTTTACATGAATGAATACACTTTAAGTCTCCTATTATAACCATGAGCAACTATACATCTCATGAAATCCATTCACTTAGTATTCTAAGTTGTAAATGTTCCTCAAAGTTCCACACATAATTGAACAAAATGTTGCATGTTCTGACCAGTTCACAATTTGCCATGTTTTAGAACCAAAACAACTTGAGATCATCCCAGCCTTTTATCATTAGCTTTAATCAATAACTTTTTAGCAACCCAGGTCTCCCATCCTTGCTTAACGCAACTGATTTTTTTTTAAATTCACATACTACATTTAGCCTTGTTAAACTTTATCTTCATTTTTTTTTTCATTTCATTGTCCCATGACAAGCACTTCACAAATTCGTCATCGTTTTAACTATCCCAGCTTTTGTCATCCACAAATGTAACAGTATCTCCACAATGTCTTTATTCAAGTCATTAGGCTCAAGTCAGAGAACAGAAACCTGTAAGAACACCAGTAGAGATCCCTGTCTAGGCTGATATCTATCTTCAAAAGTTCATTCATTTTAATTATTCAAAAGTGTTTATTGAGCTCCTATTAAAGAACATTGACCATAAGAAGCACTGGGGATACAACTGTTAATAAGACAGACACTGTCTCTGACCTTATGGTACTTAACAGTAGTCTACAAGTAATTGAAATAAATGTAACAAAATTATACAGGACAAGTCTTTAGCTAAATGTGCAATCTTTATGTAAGACATTTATAAGTGAATATTCTTTAATATGGTGGTTTGTTCACCTGAAAATGTGCATTACTTTTATCTAGCCATATTTGCTCCTTTATTCCACAAGGGTACCTTATGAAGTAATCTCAAATGTTCTACTTAGGATACCTTATATCTAGAACCATGTCCAGTATACAACAGATTCATTTTTCTTAAGTGTTAAAGCCATTCTTCCGTAATGTAAAACTTAAGCTGGTTCCTTTTAACTGAGATACTCTAAAGTTGTATATATGTACGTGTGTATGCATAGAACTAATTTATAGTGCTATGTAAAGTTTAAGTGATTACTTAACACACAGTAAGTGCTTCTCAAATTTTAATGTATATATGAATCACTTCAGGATCTTGTTAAAATGCAGGTTCTGATTCAAGAGATCTGCATTTCTAACAAGCTCCGAGGTGATACCAATGCTGCTAGTCCATGGAACACACTTTGGGTCGCAATGATTGGTAGAATTAACCTTTTCCCATCCCTGACAATTGGGATAACATCCATCTTTTTTTTTTTTAAGATTTTTATTTATTTATTTGACCGAGATCACAAGCAGGCAGAGAGGCAGGCAGAGAGAGAGGAAGGGAAGCAGGCTCCCTGCCAAGCAGAGAGCCCGATGTGGGGCTCAATCCCAGGACCCTGGGATCATGACCTGAGTGGAAGGCAGAGGCTTTAACCCACTGAGCCACCCAGGCGCCCCTGGGATAGCATCCATCTTATCTGGCTCTTTTCCTAATCTCCATGGGTTCTTAATGACATATAAATTATCTTAATGGTAATAGTGAAAATGCATGCATGTTTATTTTTTATTTTATTTTACTACATTGGGATAAACTTTCCCCATAGACTAGACTAGCTTTTATGTAACTATTTTCTTGCTGTCTTCATATCTACCATGGGTTTTGTTTCCCTTAATCCTCTTTTAACCCCTTCCAATGGAGTGACAACTCTCCTGAGAATGAGAAAAGAATGAACTAAGAATTGATTGGACTTGCTTTATCTCTGCAATTGATAAAACTGTATCACTTAATCCAATAGACAGAAAAGTAAAGTCACCAAGGATATGTAACAAGTTAGCAATAGCTTTAGATAAAGAGCTGGGATTCTTGATTGTTTACTGATTCTATTGGTACAGCCAGAATTAAAGTCCTTAGTTTCCAAATTTTCATTTAACATTTAGCCCCAGTGCCTTCTCCTCTGATTCCATAAGTACTAAGAAGAACTTAACATTTCCCTTCTTTAAGTAGGACTCAGAATGTATCTTAGTTTTTTTTATATGATCAAAGCAAAAGAAAAAACCTAAGGAAAACTTTAAGAAAACCTAATAATCATTAACATTACTATATTGCAAAGTAACATATTTTATATTACTGAATATCTTAAAGGACAACAATGCTAGAAGAGGAAGAGAATGGCAGTAATGACAGTAGTAGCAGTAGCAGTAGTAGTGGTTCAAGGCATGCCAACAAAATATTTTAAAATGATTTTCCATTTACTGTATCTTTTTAAGATTTTTGTTTATTTAAAATGGAATTCTTATACAGCGATTTTGTTTTATTTATATTTTAACCACTTTTCCCAAGAAATACAAATTATTTAACAGACTTGTCCATTTCCAAAAAGCTCAATATTGAGAAAAATTGTCTTAAATCAGTTAGCCACCATTTTCAGTACAGTCCCCAGCATATAGACATAAAGAATAGCAAGTAATCATAAAAGAGAAAACAGTTCATTAAACTCTGGTTTAGCTCAATGTCTCCACCTCTAAAATCTCCAATCATAATCCTAAATAACCAAACACTTGGAATAAGAATAGGGGCAGCCATAGTGCCAATCTAATTCCCTGGGGTTCCCTCCACACACATTTAGGTCCCATACCAATTTTTTTAAGTACCTCGGACATTTTTTGGCCTAGTAATTTGGGGTTATATTCTGGTTTTATCCTGCCCAATTAACACTGGCATAACTAATGGCAGATAAAAAGTAACTGGATCTCATGCAGTTTCTATTTCAGAAGAGTACTCAGCTGAAAGGAGACTTCTGTTCTCTCAATTATGCCAGTGATAAGCTGTATAATCGTGGGCAAATATTGAAGCTATAGTTCACCTCAAAGGATTGTCATTAGGGGCAAGTGAGATAATATATAGGTAGCAATGACTATGGGAGACAGCTAGTATAAATATGAAGATACGGGTTTGAAAGACTTCCATTCTAGCCCTACTTTGCCATAAAATAGTTGTATTACCTTAGACAACCCGTTTCTCTTTCATCAGGTACAATGGGAATAACTAGTCTATCATGCCTGTCTCAGATGGCTTCTTTTGAAGACCAAATAGAATAGAAATTATAAAGTGCCTAACATAAATCAGGCTGTCAATAAATGATTATTACTTAAAAGCACCATACAAATTTAAGTGCTATAATTCTTTACAAAAGATACAAAATTAATGTTATAGAGAAGTCACAGGAAAAAGATCTCTAAATATACCAACATTCTATTCTTTCTTCCTAAGTTTTACTCCTCTTTTTCCCTCTTATTATTTTTAAGATGGAACTATTTGTTAGACTAGAGAAAACGGATTTTCATCACGTACATTTTAAATTGTTAGGAATTTTCAAGGCTAAAGATTCACCACCAACAACCACACACCTGCAGAGGAAAACCTCTGAATTAAAAGGAATATTCCAACATTAGAATTTGCTTACACAAAATTTGTGGCATCAACCTATTTTATATTTGTGTGCTTATGGAAATGGAAAAGGTTTTTAGCATGAAACCATCATCATGAAATCAAAAGGAAAAAGAAGGAAGGAAGGAAGGAGGGAAGGGAGGGAGGACAGAAGAAAGGGAGGGAAAGAAGAGGAAGGGAGGGAAGGAGACATATATTTGTGTTGAAATTAAATCCAAAAAATCACAAATAGCCTTAACATTACCATCCAGGAAAGTCTGTTCAAGATAATCAATGATCTGAGTGGCCTCACAAATAATGTTTTCCCCGTGGATAAGGACAGGCACTTCTCCAGTTGAGTTCAAACGCATAAACCAAGGCTCATTGTGCTCACTCAAGGGCAGACTTACATCATGTTCCTCGCACTTCAATGCCTTTTCAGCAATTACCAAGCGCACCTGAAAGAGTTCACACTGGTTACAACACATGTAGGCTTTCAGGTAAATGACATCTCTGGATACCGTTAAACAGCCTTTCTGTGCTTCCCTGAATTATTATTATCAACATTCTTTTTAACTATTCCTATTCTAGGAATTAACAAGTAAGATATATTCTAGCGTCTTAATCATATAAATTAGAAAGGCCAAAAAAAAAAAAAAAAAAAGATTGTAAATAATTCTGGCTAAATTTATTCCACAGTGACTCTCTATCACCACTACTTTCTTTCCATCCTAAACCTAAGTATGTTTCCTCCCCAGACAAGAATCTGATATATAAATGTGCTAGGCCTTGTTGAAGAGAACGAATGCGTACAAGAAAAAGAAGGAACTGTAGATTATGCGGTTGCGTGAAAGCGCTTCCCTCTGCCTCACTCTCCAAAGCCCAGGGGACAAGGCCTCCGGCCCTAATACCTAAAGTGATGCTTTTTTGTCGCATATCATGAGTGGTAAAGTCTGAGTCATAGCCTTTCCATCTCAGACTAATTCTCTGTGCTCCCCTACAAGGCGCATCCCAGACCTCCAAGGAGCGCCCCCCGGGTTTAGGGCTTTGGAGGCCTGGTTCTAGACCCGCGGGAGGACCCGGGAGAGCCCTGAGGGAGCTGTCCCGGTGCTGAAACCCGATCCGCGCTGCCCGCCCCAACAGAGGCCTTTACCTTTTGAGAGCTGAAAGAATGTGTCCAGTGGTACAGAATGAGCCTAACCTCCGCGTCCGACTTGCCTTCCGCCATCAAGGGCGCGCCCCCTCTCTGCTCCTCCTGACTCCGAGCCATTTTGGGGTACGCGAGCGCTGCAGGGCCTAGTCTGTTCAGCCCTTTATTTCTCCCACCCACACTGCCGCGCGAAACGTCGTTAGTTTTTTCCGCTTTGCCTCCAGGAGCCGGGAAAGAGATTTTCGCGCGGACGAATAGACCTCTGGGAAATGTAGTTTCCACCACCAGAAAGCTGCAGGGCAGTGTCTGCAAAGATGCGGGGGTGTCTTCGCGCCAGAAAGCCACTGATGTACGGAAGTCACATAGGAGGGGCAAATGCACTTTTCTTAGAGGAAACCATCTAAAAAGAGTCCCTGAATACTAAGTAATAAATAATGGTTTGGCGGGGGCGGAGTAGAAGTTGCTGAGGTATAAAAGCAGCAATTTCTTTTTGGAGGATTTGTGCCCTTTGCAGAAGGGAAGTTCCTGGGGAAAAAAACAGAATAAGGACCCATGAGTTTTCATTAGAAGATATTCTCAGGGAGTCATGCAAAATAATAAATGATAACATCTCTTATAAACGATGACGAGTTAAAATAGCCTTGCTGCGAAACACAGAATTTTTAGGACAGAATTACCTGGGTTCACGTCCTGATTTTTGAAGCGGAGGTAATAATTCCACTTCCCCCATAAGGTTTTCCTGACCACAAATTCAGTTGCTTTATAAATACCCTCGTATAGCCATAGTCGAATCATAATTTTATACTAGTCTAATGATTGTACACCTCTTAAAATTTGGCATAATAGTAAATTAATAAAAATTTTCCATTAGTAAATATGTTTGATATGACCATAAAAGGAATGGTTGTATAATTCATTAAGTAAATACTTAGTGAGCACCTAAGTGAGCACATTCTAAGCATTGTGCTAGGCTCTGGTAATAAAGACCTGACACTCAAGATATGTCTGGTGGCAGAGACAAGTAAATAGACAACACAACAGTGATGATAACTGTCAGTCTTAGAGTGAACATAACGTTTTATGGGGAAAGAGAGGTAGTATGCAACTCTGATGAAAAGAGACAAAAATCTCATGAGGCACTTCCTCCCCTCTACAATACATCATTTGTTCTCTATAATTCTTTTATAATTTTTAAAGATTTAAAAATATCATTCATAACCATAAGTTAATTCAAATGCTACAGGAAAAAAATGACCCTTATCAAATTTGGTTTTTGTTTTAATCAGTTTGTTCTTCAGAGTAGAAGAGGAAAAAGCAAAACGTTGAAATCAGACAGAATAGGGTTTAAATTCTAGGTCCGCCCCTACTTTGACCTCTCTTGAGCCTTCTCTGTCTCATGTGTAAAATATGGATATATAAAAATATATGCCTGCTGTGGGAATTCAGTAAGAGAATGTATATAAAGCATTTAAGCCATTGCCTGGAATATAGCAGTTGATGAAAGCATATGTGGAAAGCTCCTCCAAGACATTAAGAGAACATATTATACTTTCTCTTCTCTCTTAAGGCCTCAAGATTTTTTTCAACTACCTATATAATCCTCAATTCCCACTCCTCCTCAGCAAAAGTTTATCTTACATTCTTCAACTTCAGATTCCAACATATGCTGTACAGTTACCTTTCCTTAACTAATTCAGTCACTTCAATATCTGAATAGACTCAACACTCTTGGCCAGTCATCTGTCACATGCCATTGAAAGAGTTCTCCCAATAAATCCCATGCATATAAAACACTGAGTATCTTCCCTATGACATCCTCCCAGTCACAAAGCCTTAGAGCAAACATTGAAGGAATTGACTGATTACTGTGTTGGTGTCTAATATCAAAGATTCATAGATGTCTTTGGGAGTACAAATGTGTACCTGGCTTCTAAGGAGAAATTGATCCATATGCATCAAAAACCTTGAAAATGGGCATAACTTCTAGCTTAGCAATTCTTCTATTTGCAGTTTAAGGGCACAAATTTTAGCAAATTCCAGCAGTTGGCTAGATAATAGATGGTAATGGTCATAGAAATTTTAGCTATGCACATAACTGCTGAGAAAAATGACTGCATTTCCTAGACTCCTTTGAACCTAAATGTGACCTTATGACTACATTCTAATAAATGGGATAATGGACGTGCCACAGAGAATGTTTTGGGAAGTTACCTTAAGAAAATTGTTAGTCCTCTGCGTCTTCTTTATTCCATCCTGCTTCTGGGAGGGTGGTTGCTTATTTTGGACCATGAGGAATGGGGTCACACCTCAGGGATGGCCAAAGCCATGAGCTGAAGGGAAAGTGAACCCCTAAGGACATGGAGCAGAACCACCACACTAATCTTAGTCTGCAAACCTCCAAATATTTACTTAAAGAAGAAATAAAGCATACTGTTTAAGCCACTGCTATTTTTTGTGATTTCCAGGTGCTATTGTCTTAACCTATCTTCACTAATATATCAATCTTATAAAATGCAAATTGACTTTTATTTGTTTATGCTTCTACATATAGTAATTTTCCTATAAATGAATATGTGCTGCTTTTGCCTCTTAAAGATTTGAATATTAAAAGAATATCATTCAGCAGATAAGGAAACATAGTGGTGCTTGGGGTTTTTTGTTTTGTTTTAATCATGATAGGGGTAGGAAAAAAAAACTGTTACATCGACTTTCATTGATCCATAATTCCTGTTATTTCCCATCTCACTAAAAGCCACTTGTAGGTAATATGAAAACCTCATTATCCATTTACTTGTTTATTCCAAGATCAAGTTGACTAACTTGCATGTGTATTCTGCAACTGTATATCTTCGTACATAATATAGGCTTGTGGGCTCCTGGAGAACAGGAGCCAGATCCAGGTCAATGTATTTCTTCAGTATGCATTGTTGACCTTACCTGTCCCAGGAACAGACCTAGATACAAAATATATGGACTTAAAAGTCATAATCACTAGGAACTCAAGTGTGCAGAAAGAGAAATGAGATTTCAACATGTGTGGTAATTGCTTTGATATCTAGGAGATTTTTATAATAGGAATATAGACAAAGTCACCTAACACAGATAGTTCCCCAGAAGAGGTGATGATCTTTACTGTAACTAGTACCATACTAGTACAATTACCAATATATCTGGTGTTGTGCCAGCTCTGGTTCAGACAGGCTCATGAGAACTGATTGTTAATTTTTCAGGAATTTTATAAGCTGGATGTTCAACCGAGCTATTACTAAAAAATTAAATAAAATTGAATCATATTTAAGTGAATTATTTACAAAATAAAGCTAGCAAGTACTCAAAACTCACCACTTCCTATTTTATTACATTTTTTATTATTATACTCGAGTTTATTTATGTCTATTATATTTGTATGTGGGAGTCATTTATATGGATGTGCTACAGTGCATCTCTTCCAAACTCCCTGTGATATCATGTTAGTAACTTGAAATTGGCCATGGTAGGGGTATTGACGTTATAGAAATCGACAAGTGCTATCTATAATGTGTTTGTTTTTTCAAGAAAGTTGGTTGTTAAACATTTACCAGCACACCACTGGATGCACATATTTTATTTAATATTGAATAAATTGTTTTGAAGGTGATAATGATCAGGGGAACCCTGAGTATATTTTGAATGTGTAAGTTTATATATTAATTTGTACTTGGTACCTTTTCCCATCCCAACCAGCTTCAGTTCTGCTTTCTTCTGTATTTCCCAGACAACCACAATCCTATTTCCTTTTTCATTCTCTTCACCATGGTTAGGGGAAAAGTAGATACAAACACATTGACCAGCCCACTTTCAAACACTGAGCACTTTCTCTAACTCATCTTTCCAGCAGCAAAACCATGAATCACAGTAAACACAAAAAGTGCATTGGTTATTGCACTGCTGTTTAATACTAATAATACCTCGTAAACAAAAGGCATAATGTAGAATTTTGGATGAAAGACCACAGACCACTTTCTTACAGTCTCATTTGATCCTCATTGTAGCCTGTGAGGCAGTTACAATCCTGAATTTAGAGTTGGGGAAAAATAAGGTTTGGTGACTGAGAGATTCGTCTGGAATCCTACAGTAAGTGAAAAAGCTGTAACTCAAACGTGACTTTTTGGACTACTCATCAAGGTATTATTTTCTACTACAGTATGCTAGCTTTAAGCCAAAGACAAAAAGTTATAGACTTGCAAAGTTTACACAGCCTGGGACAGATTTTGAGGAAAATATAGCCACCTTCTTGACAATTAGTCCTGTAGTTACATGCACTTCTATTAAAGCACAAACTGTCATTTTAAATTACTATTTATATTTCTTTCTTGGGTTTATATTCTGAGCCTTTTAAGGGCAAGGACCCAATATCATTTATTTCAGTATCTCCAGGAACCCAAAATAGTGCTTGGTACATAAAAGATGCTCCAAACTGCTTTTTAATTAGTAGTGAAAAAGAGTAAGTAGCCATCACCACTACCAATAGCAAAAAATAATGATGAAACAAAAAATAATAAATTAACAATAAATTATAACCAGTTTATATAAATAAATTAATAATACATTATAACCTGTTTAGCTTACTGCTCTAGAAATTGTGCGTAAAGGTAAGTTTATTTGACAGAATTTGATATTTATTTACAAATCTGGACTGTGGATCATGTCTGAAAATGAACTGCCTTTCATGTTAATATTTATGGACATTCTTTATTCATTTAAATATTTGAAAGAATGGAGTGCAGGTGGATTTATTGATGTTAGAAATATTAGATCACGTAACCGTTCTGAGCCTGAGTCACTTAACCTATAAAATTATGATAAAAATCCTCCAGATATTCTGGCTACACAGATATAACCAGCTTGGGAAAATTCCTTGATCCAGACAGCTATAATATGTGCCCTTTGGTGTCTTCTGCTTCAGTCAAGTCTTGATTTACCATAAAGAACTATTATGGCAAAATGATCTATATATTTATAAAAGTGATTATTACTCAAAGTCCTATTATTCATCCATTTTGGCAGGTATTAATTCATATTATATTTACATACATATATTTTCCAATTATGTCAACTAAGCCAGAGATCTTGAAACCTCGTGACAAATTAATACTCTAGGTTTCTGATTTTTTTTTTTAAAGAATTTATTTATTTATTTGACAGACAGAGATCACAAGTAGGCAGAGAGGCAGGCAGAG